GACTGAATAACTTTTATAGCTTTAGTAAGTATTAATCTACAGTGAGGACTGAAGTGTTATTTGTCCTGTCTTTAATAATGTCCTGTAGTGTGAAAGAATCGTTTACTGAAGTTGTCTTTGCAAACCACAGGTAGTTCATCTGCCAAGAATAGTAGTCCCACTGCTAGAGGGTTTAGACTTCACAGCTTAAATATAGACAGTTTAGACTTCACAGCTCAAATAACACTTTTGTACTGAAGCATTTACACAAGAGTCAAAATGACTCGACAGCATGTAACAGATGCTGTTTTGAAACTGGAATATTCCTTAAACACTGTCATAACCAGGTGTGATGAGACAAGTGATAAACCTCTTCGATTTCCATCAGAATCTTTTTTCACAACCGCAACAAGTGTATAGATTATTTTGTTGGCTGTTTTGTTTCCAATTTTGCCACTCGCCACTGAATACAGTTAATTATTCACAATCCGGTTTCACATAGTTTTTTATTAAACAATATGCTCTGATTAACTAAGATTTTGTCGCCTTACAGCTAGACTTGTGCCGGTATTCGGTAATGCGATATATCACGGTAATGAATATGCACAATATTGTTATCGTGGGCACTTCATCCCAGGAATAAATTACATTTCAAAATATATTCCCATATTTTAAATTGTAATAATATTAAACAATATTACAGTTTTTACTGCATTTTACAGTGAGCCTCAGTGAGCATAAGAGACTAAAAACATGAAAAAAATGTATCGACCCCAAACTTTTGAACGGTCGTGTATATATTTTTTATATATATTTTCAGGTGCCACATTAAATATGCGTCCCACCCCTGTATCTCTGGATGAGATGGAGTGGCGTCAGACTCCGCCCCCCATAAGCTCTGCCCCTGGAAGCTTCCGTTTGCGCAGAGGCAGTCGATTCACCTGGAGGAAGGAATGTCTCGCTGTGATGGAGAGGTGAGACGGAGATAACGGCCCTTCTGAAAAAAACGAAATGTCTGAAACTCCTTGTCAGTGTTACATCTCAATAACATTTCAAATCAGGAATACAATTTTCTCATAAAATGTGCTTCTTTAGCTCAAATCATGCCAGAAGCACGCTAGTCCTGCTAACTGTACGGTGTTTACACTTTGTTCTCTCCTCAGCTATTTCAGTGATAATCAATATCCAGATGAAGCCAAACGAGAGGAGATCGCCAACGCCTGCAACGCTGTTATTCAGAAACCAGGTAGAAATGCTGGTGTGTCTGAATCTGCACAGTGAGATTTATCTATTGCACTTCAAATGACATATTGCATTTGCATTTTCGCAATCGTCTGACCTTTCAATCTTGTTTTTCCTGGCTAGGCAAGAAGTTGTCTGACTTGGAAAGAGTCACGTCATTGAAAGTCTACAATTGGTTTGCCAACCGACGCAAAGAGATCAAGAGGAGGGCCAATATTGGTACCGTATTTTAGTTGATTTATGTTATTTTAGTATCATTGAGATACTATTGTAGTTTTTGGTAATATTTTTAAGCTGTTTTTATTTTTGTATTTTCTGTTTTAATTTTTATATTTTCTTTGAAAACATATTTTAATATGTTAATATTAAACACTTTTTCCATTTTAATTTTATAGTTAATTTATTTTTTTTAGCAAAAAAAAAAGTTATTTAAAATTTTATAAACTGTATATTTTATTTCAGTTTTATGGTTTTAGTTTGAGTTAATTTTAATACCCCTGATTTATATATAGTAATGACTTTGTCTTGATGAAGAAACATGTTCAAATCAGTCAGGATTTTACTGGTTCGGTTACTAGTAGTAAATCGTTTGCTATTTTTCGTTTGTTGTGGTAATGGTTTTTAAAGAGTTTCAGATGTTTCATGACAGGGTCTTTTTTCCAAGAAGCCACAATCTTGGAGAGTCACGGGATCGATGTGCAGAGTCCTGGAGGACACTCCAACAGTGACGACGTCGACGCTAACGACTACAACGAGCAGGTGAGCAGGTGAATCAAACGACTCATTCGAACTAAAGGATCCGTTGTCTTATTTTTTAGATCTGCTGAACATGGGATGTTTGTTTAACACTACTGCTAGAGCTGATCTCAGTGATTTCATTACAGGGTTGTGATGTTTCCTATTTTGAAAAGAGAGGCATGAACCGACCTTTTGGTTACTACCGTCTGGAGCCCACCTCACCAACACAGGTATCACATGAAAACAAAGATAAATAGCACACACACTTTATACATACAGATAATCAAAGCTCAAGATGAAGTTACATTAAAGGGGTCATGAACTGAGAAATCAAAATCCTCTTGATCTTTTGACATATAAGAGGTCATTGTACTATAAAAACATAAGTTTCAGAACTCAATACTTTCTAGTTAGTCTAAAAACAGCTTATATTGAAGCCGATCTGCCAAAACAACAGCTTGTGGAATGAGACACTTTATGACATAATAGTGTGGCTAAACTCCGCCTCCGCAGAAGATGATCAACGCCTGGTTCTATCACTAGGAGCGTTTCCATTACAGATTTGCGCAAAACTTTGGCGATATTTTATAAATGTCGGCAAATGCAGGTCTACGCAGAAACCAAACGATAAAGATGCTCACAAGTTAACAAGACGTTGTTCAGAGCCAAGCTGTGGGAAAAACTCAGCCTTTGCATCGCCTTCCTTCTGATCCCAACATTAGGAAAGAGTGGATGAACTTTATTTTAAATGAAGATCCAGATCGCGTCAGTAAGAACTCGGTTCTTTGTTCACTTCATTTCACCGCAGATTCGTTTACAAACAAAGCACAATTCAACACAGGATTTTCAGAAAGATTGAAACTAAAAGACGATGTTGTGCTGAATATATTGGATATGACAGTAATGTCGCACCACACAAGTGTGAGGAACTGTTTTTATTACGTGCTCACTATTGCTTTGTCTGTTTTTGCAGATCGTTTGATGTGTACCGAGTATTTATGCGTTTTTAACCTAAATCACAGCAGTGTCCATCTATGAAGGCTGTAGGCTGTCAAACACACACAGCTGTTAGCCAATCAGAGCAGTGGGCGTTTACTTCCGAGTCTACAATCCGTCACATCTATTCAAACAGAGCGTTCTGATGAGGGGGTCAAAACAGGACAGAAAATAGCCTATTACTTCTCAATGATGATGTTTTTTTAAATGTAAAAATCTTAACATTATAAGTGGACCTCTGAGAACAGTACAAAATAAAGTTAAAAAAAAGGCAGTTCATGACCCCATTTTGTGACTTGTTATCAAATGTTTCACTGACATACACGTCTCTTTAAGGATGATGCCGGCATTCACGCAGACCACCAGGACCCCATCTCTCTCGCCGTGGAGATGGCAGCTGTCAATCACAGCATCCTCGCCCTGTCCCGCCCGGGAGGCGTGGCCATTGAAATCAAAACAGAGTCACTGGATGACGACTGAGGAAGACCGTGGGACGAAGAGGATCAATGAGTGCGTGTGTAGATGTCTCCAGGTGTTTATGGAGCAATGACCAAATCAACGCTCTGTCTCAAGCTTTTAGAATCTAATATCACCTGCTATCGACACTCCTGCTGAACCACTAAACAAACCCAGAGTCAACGACACACACTCTCGACAGGAGCTGACAAGTGTGAGGTCGTTCCACGATGTTCGGCCATCACCTACAGCTCTTATTTAAGCCTCCCGAACCCTGGCTGACCCAAACCCCGTACCTCATTCCAGTTCCAGTACCTTGTATAATGTTTCGTGTGCTTCCTGTCTTGTGTGCTCCAGTGACCCTCATTCCCTCATTCTCACAGATAAGCTAAAGGCAGATAATTTGAGAGGTGAGTCTGATTTCTGCTTTGAATCCATGATCTTCCTCCATTCCCACTACAGATGCTCTCAGTTAACAGGTTTAATGTCTCTACTTTTGTACGGTAGAATATATTGGATCTGACAGTAATGTCGCACCACACAAGTGTGAGGAACTGTTTTTATTACGTGCTCACTATTGCTTTGTCTGTTTTTGCAGATCGTTTGATGTGTACCGAGTATTTATGCGTTTTTAACCTAAATCACAGCAGTGTCCATCTATGAAGGCTGTAGGCTGTCAAACACACACAGCTGTTAGCCAATCAGAGCAGTGGGCGTTTACTTCCGAGTCTACAATCCGTCACATCTATTCAAACAGAGCGTTCTGATGAGGGGGTCAAAACAGGACAGAAAATAGCCTATTACTTCTCAATGATGATGTTTTTTTAAATGTAAAAATCTTAACATTATAAGTGGACCTCTGAGAACAGTACAAAATAAAGTTAAAAAAAAGGCAGTTCATGACCCCATTTTGTGACTTGTTATCAAATGTTTCACTGACATACACGTCTCTTTAAGGATGATGCCGGCATTCACGCAGACCACCAGGACCCCATCTCTCTCGCCGTGGAGATGGCAGCTGTCAATCACAGCATCCTCGCCCTGTCCCGCCCGGGAGGCGTGGCCATTGAAATCAAAACAGAGTCACTGGATGACGACTGAGGAAGACCGTGGGACGAAGAGGATCAATGAGTGCGTGTGTAGATGTCTCCAGGTGTTTATGGAGCAATGACCAAATCAACGCTCTGTCTCAAGCTTTTAGAATCTAATATCACCTGCTATCGACACTCCTGCTGAACCACTAAACAAACCCAGAGTCAACGACACACACTCTCGACAGGAGCTGACAAGTGTGAGGTCGTTCCACGATGTTCGGCCATCACCTACAGCTCTTATTTAAGCCTCCCGAACCCTGGCTGACCCAAACCCCGTACCTCATTCCAGTTCCAGTACCTTGTATAATGTTTCGTGTGCTTCCTGTCTTGTGTGCTCCAGTGACCCTCATTCCCTCATTCTCACAGATAAGCTAAAGGCAGATAATTTGAGAGGTGAGTCTGATTTCTGCTTTGAATCCATGATCTTCCTCCATTCCCACTACAGATGCTCTCAGTTAACAGGTTTAATGTCTCTACTTTACTTTTGTACGGTATTTCATCAAACAGCAATTGGGTGAATCTCATGAAAACTGTCAAAAATGTGTCTGAAAGGGACAAAATGAAAGGGAAATAAATAAACATATTTTGCATAAAAAATAAAAAAAAAATGTAAAGCACATTTTCCTCAAAAAATGCTGATAATAAAATATTTACATTGTAAAGCATTTGGCATACCGTATGCTGACTTGAAAAATAATAATAAAAAAAAAAAAGTAAACTTTTTTTTTGGAGGGAAAATGTGTGTAATTGGCATGATGCCGTGAAAAATATCTTCAAAATGCAAAATATAATTTCTTATTACTTTCCTTTTGGTTTGCGGGAGACATTAAACCAGGATATTTATATATATAATTTTTTTTTTTTTTTAGATTCATCCAATTGCATTACACTGTACTTTGATTTGAATTATGTTCAAATGGGGCGGGGGGAGGGGTGAAATATAATTGTAGTGAAACTTGAAAGATGTGGTTACATAACCGCCAAAGCGCAAGTCTCCTGGACTCTAAATGAACCTGCAAAAAGAGACTTCAGTGGGCAGACCGCTAGCTTTCTTAATTTTAAACCGTTAAGTGTCCAGCATTACCCAAAGTGAATATGCATTAAAGCGCTATTCTTACGTTTGTATTTATTTAGCTTTTACGTTTTTATTTACGTGCAAAGATTTCACGCAAAGAGTCAAGACCGAAGCATCTGCTCTCATGATGTTTAGAACGAAAATACGTCAATGTGAAATACTGGCTCAAGTTGTCAGCAGTCAGAATTATAACATGTGCGAACTCCCAAGAACTTTTATTAATATTGTGAAATGACATCAGAATTTCACAGTGTTAATCGTTCACGAGAGACTGACTGATAAATGTTTGTTCTGCTGCCACACAACTCTGAGAGTCTAACTCTCATCTAACATAAGCTTGGTTCCAAAATGTAGCTTATTTTATTCAAAAAGGTTCTAAAATAACTATTCACTCGCTGGGCTTCATTCATTGAAACGAGCAGAACGACTCATTCGTAGAGCCGTTCTTACATAAATGATCACAAACTCAATGCAACGCTTGCATAAAGCGACTAATGACATAAGAATGGTTTTACAAACAGCTAACAGAAACTGCTTCTGCCTGTGTCATGAATGAAGCCTAGTTTTTTTTTTTATGTATCCTTCCTCGATTCTTCCTGTGTACAATTGATATTTATAAAATGACAATTTTTGCTTAATAATAATTCAAGATTCTTTTTTTATTTGATTGTTTTACACCGTTTTTATGTTCAGAGCAGTCTCCTGAAGTGTGTCTGATTCAGATCATGCACCCCCTTCACTCAAGAAACACTACTTTATTTGCCACATTTTTTGTAATATAAGTTTGTTACAGGTCGTTTTCTAATGCTGTAATGTTCAAATGTGCTTTTACAGTTGTATTTCAAACTAAGGAAACGACTTGTCCACGTCTGTGTGTCATTAGAGCCTCTTTGTACACATGACAGAATGTGCCAAACTGCAGTATGACGTCAAGTATTGACATTTACATGATCTCACAGTGACATACAGATACTACGAATGACTCGTTCTGTTGCCTCAAGTGTTTTAATCCAGAGCAACGAACGCCAACCCCGCTGGTTTAAATGGGGTGCTTTCCATTTAGTTTTCATGTCTATAAACAAAAAAATCTATAGGCCTATAAAAGCAACTGTATAAATAAACAGAAGACAGTAACTATGAATTTAAAGATTGTTTGAATCAAATAAGTCTATGATTTCAAAGCATTCTGTTGTGAATCATCTGTATCTCCCATTTAAGAATTTAGTGCCTTTTTTGGACAGTAGACTGTTCTGTAAGTATACTATAGTATATATGAACTTTTTGTACAGTCTCTTTGTTTAAAATGACTTTTTTTAAAACTTGTGTTTATTTTAGTACTTTATCTTCTGGAAAATAAAGGTATATTGATGATCAGCCATGTGATTTTATTCTTTCAAGACTGCGTTTTAAATATAGAATATAAGATCTACGATTTCATGCAGACGTTTAAAGGCAAGATAATAAAATAATAAAGTTTATTACTCTCACCATTGCAATATAAAATCTTCAACATAATCTTTTGTCATTACTTCGATCTGCAAAATAAATACTTTGATCATAAATTACTCCGTTCAAGAAGAAGAAAAACAATAATTCAAAGGTACCAAACCAAGAGAAAATACAGAACCAACTCACCATAATAACACTAAAAACAATCATTTATGAATAAAACTGTCTGGAGCTTTTTATCTCCACAAGTAAATCCCATCTAGCCTTCCTACTGTATATAAAATCATGAAATGAATCCATCAGTGTCCTGATTTTTCTAGGGAACAACCACATGGACATACTCCCTGACATTGGGTTCAGATAAGCGGGGCACTTTATGATATTAAAAACATAAAAAAAAAAAAGAATAATACCAAAAATACTGCTTACCGAGGCTGAAAATACACCTCTAACATGGGCTTTTCGAACACTAGGCACTATGCAGTGTAGATATGCGTAAATCAGGTGGCAGTTACATCCCTGCAAGTATCAGTGTAGTGTTTCAGTGCCATACCAATACTGTCCTCCGTACACGTCCATCAACAATGATGCATTTTCCTCAGCTAACCCAAGACTTCCTGTTTTCACCCTTGCGTGCTCCAGCTTCTCCTTTGGCCATCGCTGTAAGGGCTGCCAGGTTGGGACTAGATCCCGAGAGGTTCTGATTGCGTTTCTGTCTCGACCGTTTAGCGGTACCCGTCGCTTTTACAACTCGATTTGGTCTCACAAGAACACCGTAACCAGGGTTGCAGTGGAAGTAATGGCGACCGCCGACCGAACCATCGTTTTTACCTGGACATGAAGAAAAGCATAATTATTTGGTGCATACAAGATAAGAACATTTGCTAATTAATGGTCCAATGATCATGCGATTAGACATCATTTCTAATAATTGGAACAGTTGGTTAGTGAAGTTTATGCAAGTGTAAATTTTGTATTTTGATTCATACACAACCACAAGTCCAAACCATCGTTTTTATCTAGAAATGAATACGAGCATCATTTTTTGGTGGTGGATACGTGAAGAGAACCATTGCAAATCAATGGTCCATTGATCATACGATTAGACTTAATTTCTAATAACTAGAACAGTCAGTTAGTGGACCGCTGTGAAGTCTATGCAAGCATAAATTTTGTAAAAAGGCGCTAGTGAGCACCATTTTGAATCATACGAAATTTCAAGTCCACAACATGTAATACCTGGGACCAGAACTGCATTTCCCAAAAGCATCACAAGCCTAAGCAGATCGTAGAAGCCATTATCAGCGTTTCCATTACCCTTCAGAATGTGCAAATTGAAATTGCGAATTGAAAATACATCCAATGGAAACATGTCAATTTCACAAAACTTGCATATATCGCAAAAAAGTTTTTACGCTCACATGAGGTGGTTTTTCCAGCAATTCAAACAAGGAATATTTCATAAAACTAATGTAAACAGTTTTTTTTCGCATTTACAGGTCACCTGGCATATGTTAAAATCACATGATCATTCTTTAATATACTATTAACCTCCAAGAAACACTTCATACGTGGCCGCTCTCAAGTATAAGGGGCTTTCCTTGCCATTAAAG